TGTATCATTAATTGTGAAACATAATACGTGATTGTAAATCATTATTTTTTCAAAAGTTAATGGCGCGCCGGGTTTCTTGTTGGTTATTCCCAGGACAGAAGTATTTTCAGAACCAGTGGTAAATTATACATTAGAATGACTTCCATTAATAAGCATTGTTTATAATGTTTATAACATAAACGATTCTATTTTTATAGAAACTCGCTAAAAATATGATTTCATGCGTGGTAGAGAGTCGCTGCAGTTATATTTATATAGTTGTAGCACGAATGAGTCGGCTCCACCGGGAAAGGACTAGGATCTCACAGAATACCAGCGTAAAATAGCAGCGCAATGCTGCTGTGGTTCATATGATGCGTATAGAGAACAAGAGGCCCTTTGAACTGGAGACGAAGAATTTTCTCTTATTCCGCAGAGGGGACAACGCATCTGCATTTTAATTCTTAATAGAAGACAGATATAGATGTCAGTGGGCCACAGCATTCAGTTACCATCGGGCGGACTATGTGCACGTTTGTCACACTCTTTACAAAAGAGGAAAAAAGTATTTGGAAAATAATAACCAATAACTTTAGATTACCTACAACTATCACCAATAAGTCAATGACACTGAATTCCAAATCCAAAAATAATGCAGAATTTGTTGTTCTGGCTAGATATAGTGACGATCTGCACAAGGCGGCTGGCAGCAACTGTAAGCGTTAAGCCGAATATCGGGCTAAGTGGCACACTTAGGAAGGAGCATTTCTCCAGCAGTGGTGTTCTGTAAAATAAACGTGAAGCTACAGCCTATATACGTTCCACTCCTAGCACAGGCTTCATTTCATTACTGAGAATTGGAGCAAGGAAGTGTCAACCGATTACAAGTGTATGTTTGCAGAAATGTCTTTAATAGTTTTCTTTTATTTTTGGACATATAGGTTTCCCCACGATGTTTCCTTCACTGCTGACCAAGTGGTAAATCTGCATATAAAATTGCAATTAACAATTTTATTGGTACCGGCGGGGATCGAACCCGGGTGCTCGCGTACTGTGAATTTTAGGTGTGTGAGTTGTGTTGTGCTTATACCGCCACTATGTCATCGTCTAGGAGCTGTGTAAAATATATACTAGTCCATATACTAATACTTACATAAACATTTGACGTCATATTTCTGTATAAGCTAATAGATAGAAATTTTGACAAGGTTGATTTTAACCTTGACTAAATATTGCTGTACCTAGAAAGCGACACAGTCTTAAGAATCCTCATTTTAAAAGTTATCCAGCTTCGTCAAATTTGGGTCATTATGCTCCATTAAACAGAGCGATGAGAAGTTACAATCTCATTCACAACTCTATATCTAGTGAAACAGAAAAAGGATCTTCTCAGCTAGATGTTTTCTCAAACTCCTTAACACATTTTAAAAAATTTGCAGCTCTAATAATAACAGAATAATTCGATTATAATGTACGATAGGTCATTTTAATATGATTATGTGTCAGCGTTATTTTTATTTTTCTCTCAATTTTTTATTTTGACTTTTAATATAATTTTTTATTTAAATGACATTTCGACTTGTTTAAAATTTTATTGATGTTTTTATCATTTAGTTTTTAAATTATTTATTGCTCTTGACATAGCTGAGTTATTTAAAAAATATGCGGATGGAATTATAGAATAGAAACGCTGCAGTGGTGGTGAACACGACATTCGTGTTTCGAGATATGGCGGATACTGACTGGTGTCTCTTGATTTGTCACCACGCGTTCAAAATCGCGCAATGCATAAAGATGCCCTGAAGTACGCGTATCCACCTGTACGCGTGTGTGTACATACCTAGATTACGCGTATATTGGAACGCTTAGTCGGTATAAGGCTATATAGATACCTTAAGTAAATACTGTGTCTCGAGAGCTTGGTGAAATTAGAAGATTAAATACAGCAGTTTCTGTACTAGAAGCTCAGAGTGACCTATTACTTAATCCGTTTAACGCTTCAGCCGTTCCCCATCTAGACAAGTGTGCACTCAGACTAATGTTGACTGTTAGAATCGATAACTCTATACATATATATATTTAAAGATACTAAAGTACGAAATTCGAGCGGTAAGTAAATTGATTTTTTTACAATTAAACGTGAGCAGCAAGTGTGGTGAGAGTGCCATTTGGTAACGTAAAATATGCGGTAGGGTTAAGAAACTGACTCCTATGTTTTCTATCTGGATAATGCACTAGAGTAAATATTTTTTTACTAAACATCCTGTAATCTAAACCCCTGCCATGCTTCTATATTTCGTTTTTCCTCACAAAATTATTATTTATATTATACGGCCTGCGGGTTCAAATATTGTACTAAATAAGTATTTATATGACTTTCAAATAATTGTTTCTGGTCTGAATGTTTGTGCTTGCGCAATCTAATTACGTAAATTGCATCTATGATTCAAGAGAAAATCCCAGTGTATGTGTAACGTTTTGTTTAATACCTGGAAGCCTTCTAAAATTTGGTACTAAAACTGTTCAGTTGTACCACTGTTATAATCAAGTTAAAAAAAATCGAACAAACTTATACAATAAACGAAAGGCGTTCAGATCTTCAGCTGTCTCTTTTGGTTGCTTCTTACATCCGGAGAACCGCCTGTCCATTGATGTACTTTTACGTTCTATTAAAGTTACAAACGAATACACATTCTGTCAGATGGTAAGTGAATGCTGTCGCCCAGAGACAACGTTTATTTGCAACTAAATGCTGTTTGGGAGACGCGGTAGAGCCACGCTGCATATTTTTTACCAGATTGACATCAACTACAGATAGGTGAGCTGACTGATAAGCGAGACTGTGGTGTTTAACTTAGACATGGTAAAGGTTATCTTATTAGAAATATGTTAAAGTGATAAAGTACAAGTAAATTAAAGCCTGTACACGTCCCACCTCTGGGCACAGACCTCTCAATTCTGAGAGGGTTACGAAACAATTAGTCCGACGGGCTGCTCTAAAGAGCCTGTTTGCGAGTTTCACCCTATATTTTTAAAATGTTTTTTGCTCACACATTGTTTCCCCACGATGTTATCCTTCACTTCGGCAGTGAAGGTACATGGTTAATCAGCACAAAAAATTTAATTTGAAACTTCATTGATGCTAGCAATGAGCAAACCCCAGTTACTCAGACAAGAGAAATACACTGCATTTTAGAATCAGTTTATATGCTGTGTACTGGCAGTTTAAGATAAACTACTACCTATTTTACCTGACACACACGCCACAGGAACTCTCATACACATTCTCATAACCTAACCATCTTTTGAGTGAATCAAGAGGCGACAGATAAAAATGAAACAGAAGATGGGCAGCAGCATCTTCCTAATAACAACACAAAATAATAAAGAACTGCGGTTGCCTATCCGCCTGCAAAGCGAGGCAGCTAAATATCCTCCCTTCTCCTCGTATCCCGGCTATCTATGGTCTAGGTTCTACAGATGACTTTTGATACCTTGTAATGAGAATGCAATGCAAAAATGACCTGATTTTTTTACCTCCCAAGCACACACGCAGGTATGGGTGTAATATCATAATAAATTCCAGTACCCTGTTTAATTCCATTGAATTGATTTGAGTGCTTATTTTTCTGTAATTAATCCCGCATCAACACCAAGGAACTGTTACCGCCATCTAGCGACGAAAAGTTATAACTTTTACAACCAAGAGAATTACTAAAATGCAACAGCACGACACATCTTTACATACGACTACATTTTTATTTAAATGTTGAGAAAATTTATAATTTGACGGCTTGATAGCGCAGCAAATGAACGTTTAAATGCAACGGGTAGCAGGTTCGAATTCCGCATGAAACAAGATCAGTTTCTTTTTGTATATAACTGTAGTGACACACAGAATACCAGCGTGAAAACCACCAAACACCACTCCATCCAAACCACCCACTCTCACCCTATCCTATAAAAAAAAAAAAAAAGTGACAAGTGTACATTCCACCTGAAGGTAAGTGGTAACTGCAATCCAGGTAAATGTCGCGGGTGTGCATGTTTGTCTACGTGTATTTTAAGTATGTGAAACGTCTCCAGGATACACCAGAAATCCGTACCAAAACAATTTTCTCGTGTGTACATGGTAGAGCCACGCTGCAGCTATATTATGATTGTAGCTGGAATGGGTTGGCTTGTACGGGGAAGGATCAGGCTCTTTCAGAATACCAGTGTAAAATCGCAGCTTAATGTTGCTGTATTTCGTGTGTTGGTTGCAGAGATCCGGAGACCCTCGTTTTGACGCATCTGTGTTTTGATACTTAATCGAGGATAAATGTAGATATCAGTGCCGTCTTTAGGATCAACGAGGCTATGGGCCAAGGTACTGGCTGGGGCCTATGTAAGGGATGGAAAATCCTTAAATTTTAACTTTATCATTTTTCAGTTTACAATAACGCAATAGGCTAAATCGTAACCCCGTCTCTTAACACCCCACATATGAGAGTTCAATAAATAAATTTTTTGAATCTAAAAAACTAATACCCCACCAATTCTAATTTAAATAAAATTGAATGAAAACCATATATTATAATCTATACAAAGAACAATACTTATATTTATTCATATACAAATATATGAAAGTGACGTCATCCGTGACATCATAGCCTATAACAGCATTGGTTAGCGAGCCACTGCATACCAAGTCTATAACTACAGCGCGATGCTGCGCCGAATCTTGTTTAATAAACAAGGGCTATCGGTTTTTCTTCGAGGAAGTGCCGTAAACTGTCCCCGCTGTATTAGATCGGACTACAATATTTCGTCGTTCCGGATCGACCTCAGTTCTCAATGGCTTCTCAAACGAACACTTGGCATTTCAACTTATTTCTTAATTCATTTTTACTTTACAATTAACTTATTTGCTTTGTTTTAAATACCCGTAATTTTAGCCATGCATACATTTAATTTCTTACAATTTACAATTTTCGTATATTTTAATTTCTTTAAACAAACGATTAAATGTAATGTTTATAATGCCATGTAAACGTTTTCTCAATTACAATATTCAAACTAACGCGCCAAAATCTTCATTCGGATTCTTACGCATGCGCGCTCTTGCGCGCAAGCAGAAGCGCGATTGTTTTGAAAGAAACTTGTTTAAGCTTGCTTTTGTTTTTGGTGAGAAAATGAATAGTCAACGTCCGTGTTTCGACACGTGAAACAGCCAGCAGGTTCATTAGTTCATTACCAGATTTTCACGCGATGTAGCAACAGTTAATTTAGTATTGTTTATCGAATCATTTGAAGTACATCAAAATCATGAATCGTGTTTATGAAAGTGGTGCTGCAAAAAAACGAAAAGCGAAAGAAGAACAAAAGAAAATAGACAAGTTACCAAAAATTACTGGATTTTTAAAACAACATGACATTACTAGTAAGTAATTTGAATTAAGAGTGATTAGTTCATTAATTGAGTCCTATAACCTCATTGTTGTTCGCATGTAGCAAAAGTTTTTTTATGAAAAGTCGATTTAATATCATTTTTATGAAATTAATTTATGAAACAAACCGTGCTAACAGTATGATAATAAGATCATTGCATTTTATTTATTAGGCAAAAATGATGAAACGCCGAAAGGTACCGCTGATTTACAGGAAAATGTTATTCAAAACGAATCAGTCGATTTGAATCCTTCAGAACAGTCGGAATTATCAGTAGCTACACAAGTTCTTATAAATCATAGAACAGAAGGTAAATAAAGAGTTTCAAATTGTAAATATTTAGATTCTAAAAAAAGCTGAATAATTTTAAATATTTTTTTTCAATTAAAAGCGATTTACAAAAATATATTTTATTTTAATAGAGGAGGCAGCATTGAGAAGCACGTCAGAAAAAATTGAAAGTTATTCGACTGATATTGCGTTATGGGGCGAAATCAACGAGAAGTTACGATTATACTGGTTGCAAAAAAATCCAGGTTTATGCAGCAATAAGGATAAAGATTTCTCAAAATCTGCACGGATTTACCAAGAAGGAGATAAACAAAAAAGTGAGAACTCTAAACAAATCATTATTTCAATTGAAACTACAAAATAATGAAATAGTAGAGCGTGAGTGGTTATCGTATTCGCCATCAACTGGACGTATATATTGCTTTGTATGTCGACTTTTTTCATCTGAAAAAGATCAATTTACATTTTACGGATTTAATGATTGGAAACACCCAGAGCGAATTACGGAGCATGAGCAAAGCAAAGCTCATAAACAAACTTTAACTATTTATTCTAAACGGAGAAGAGAAACTGGTAGTTTAGAAAATGCATTAACGATTCAACAAAAAAATGAGAAAAATTATTGGATTCAAGTATTACGTCGAATAACTGACACTATAAAGTTTCTTGCTTCACGAGGTCTCGCTTTTCGAGGGGAGAACGAACGATTCGGATCTAGTCAAAATGGCAATTACTTAGGTATTTTAGAATTACTGAGCGAATATGACCCTTTCCTTAAAGAGCACATTAATACCTACGGAAATAAAGGACATGGAGTAACATCATACTTATCAGCTAATATTTGTGAGGAATTTATAGGCCTTATGGGGGAAAAAGTTCTTGCTTGCATTATAAGTGAGTTGAAGAAGGCAAAATATTATTCTTTTTCTGTGGATTCTACGCCGGACATCACTCATCTAGATCAATTAACGTTCACCGTGCGCTACGTTACCGATCAGGGGCCTATCGAACGTTTTTTAATGTTCGTTCCTATAGAAGGTCATAATGCCGAATATTTAACAGAGGTTGTAGTCAAATTTTTTAAAGATAATGATATTGATATAAATGACTGTAGAGGTCAATCTTATGACAACGCATCGAATATGTCTGGACGCTATTCAGGACTGCAAACCAGGATAAGGGAAATCAATAAGTATGCTGATTATATTCCTTGTGCCGGGCACTCGTTAAATTTAGTCGGCGTTAAGGCAGCTGAATGTGTTAATGCAGTCGTTAAGTATTTCTATATCGTACAAAATTTGTACACATTTTTATCAGGATCGACTTATAGATGGCAAAAACTATTGTCATATTTAGGAACGAAAAAAAAAGTCGTTAAATCTTTATCCGCTACTCGATGGTCAGCCCGAGCTGATGCAATCATCGCTCTTTTCACAGGTCATACAGATATTACGAAAGCTCTAGATGATTTATCAAAGGATGATACGCAGTCTAACGAGACTAGACTTGAAGCTAAGACCATTTTAAAGCAAATTACAAAATTTGAAAATGTCTTTATAACTGTGGTATGGCACGAAATCTTGACACGTATTAATGATACATCTAAAAATTTACAAAAAGAAAATATGGATTTGTATATAGCATGCAGTCTTTTAAATTCCTTAGAATTGTATTTATTGGATATCAGGGATAAATTCGATGAGTTTTTAGAAAAAGCAAAAAGCTTTACTGATATCTGCGAAAGTGAATCTACATCTGAGCCAAGAAATCGAAGAAGAAGCGTAAAACTTACTCGCTTTGAAGGAGAGAGTGAACATACACAATTTACTGGAGATGAAAAGCTCAAAATAGAGATTTTTTATCCGATAATCGATTCACTTTGTTCCAATTTGAAAACCAGAAAAACTGCTTACGAAACGGTGAATGATAACTTCAAGTTTTTTACTGCTCTACCAAACATGACATACGAAGGAATAAAAGAATGCTGCGAAAAGCTTGCCAGAAAATATGATCAAGACATTTCTGCAGAAAATTTAATATCAGAATGTTTACATTATAAACATTATCTTCGTGATACACGAAAGAACGAAGAATTATTTATTCCTGATCTATACTTGCAACTGAAGAAAGAATTTCTGACGTCTACATTCCCAAATATTGAAATAAGTCTCCGAATATTCCTTACCCTAATGATCACCAATTGTGCTGGTGAACGATCATTTTCTAGATTAAAGTTGATAAAATCCGATCATCGAAGCACAATGTCACAGTCACGATTGAATCATCTAAGTTTAATGAGTATAGAATCGGACTTATTAAAATCGATTGATTTTGATTAACTCATATCTAATTTTGCTGCGAAGAAATCGAGAAAAAAAGTTTTTTAAGCTGTATATAATTACTGTTATTTTAGTGCAAAAATAAATTTTTAAACAAATTTTCTAAATCTTGTTTCTATTTTACCAAGTGTGTGATTTGATATTTTTCTTATTATGTTATAAAATTTGTTGTTGTATATCGAAAATTTTCAGAATTGTGGGGCCCCTGCCTACCTCGGGGCCTCGGGCCAGGGGCCTGCGGGCCCTGCCTTAAAGACGGCACTGGTAGATATCTATGGGTCACAGCATATACTTACCATCAGGTCGACTGGGTGCTCGTGTGTCACCCTTATTTTATAAAAAAACAAAAAAACACATATTTATAACCAACCGGCACTGATGCAGTTTAAACTAAATTTATTTTAACTGTAGAAAGCAGAAATATAATTTTTTATAGTTTTATTACGTAAAATAACAAAATCTTAACTTCAGGTTGATCACATTGTTGATTGCTAAGAGAATTAATCAGAGAATTCGGTGCTTAGTCATGGTATATAGATTAATTGAAATTATAGTCGGTCCTTACTTTTTGCTCAAACTACATTTTTTACAATTTTAAATAGACTAAATAATATCACAAGTTCAACTTGAATATTTTAAGTTGCAACAAAAATTTCTTCTTTTACGGGATCACCCTTGGGGGTTATACACAGAATATTAAAAGAATTATTTTAACCGGTTCAGTCATTTCCGAATAATGTATAAATATACATAAAAATTATACACGTCGAAAATACAATCTCGTCTTTTTTTTAAAGTTGTTTAATGAATAAGTTCTCATCAGTGTCGTTGAGATGAGAGTCAGATAGAGTTTAAAACTCTCAATTAATAGACATCTAACGCCATCTAGTGTTGAGGAAAGGAATGACTTTCCAACATAATATTCAAAAAGGATTATTTTAGGAAGTTTTTAGTTCGTCTTAATGTTATTATATTTTTTTAGTTATTTTGAATGTAAAGGATTATATTTGAGGTCGTTTCATACAGCGATAAGTTACTTCATTATTTTCTAAAAATTAATGTAGATTTTGTTTAAAGAAAATATCGTCTTTATATTTTAAATAAAACTTGTATAATCCCTCTTAAGGCTTCTTTTGAATATCTCTGGAACATCGCTCTGGTTCCCGCTGTTTAATGAATCAAAAACAAGTGCAATGAAATAAATCTTCAATTAAAAACTCTGAAAAGAATTTTTCATAAGATTTTTGAGTTGTTTTTTTAAAGGCGTATTTTAATGGAGAAATTAATCACATAAAAGCATCTTTTGTTAACACATTTACCACCATTTTAATTAAAGTTTTTAGCTTGAAAGTATTATTTTACCTAACGATTTTCTGAAAGCTACGAATAGAGCAACGCTGTAGCTATATATTATGTTTGTAGCAGGAATGGGTTGGCTCGACCGGGGTAGGACCACGCTGTTACAGAATACCAGCATAAAATAACAGCTTTATGCTGCTGTGTTTCGTTTGACAAGTGTAGAGAACCGGATACCCTTTTTTACTGAAAACGAGGCGTACCATCTTAGTCTTCAGTGGTGACAAAGCATCCAAATTTTGATACTTTAATCGAGAATAAATGTAGATGTCTATAGGCCACAGCATCCACTGACCATCAGGAGAACTATGTGATCGCTTGTCACTCATATTCTATAGAAAAAGTCGGCTTGCTGTCAGACATATCTTCCTCTTACACAATACTTAAATAAACAGAAACAGAAACTAAAAAAGATTATAAATAATGCATATTGAAAGTCACTTTTTTAATATACATTGGTACGGAAAAAAACATCTATCCTAAGAAGAACCAGCAAGAAACCCAATGAGAGTATTTTTTTAAATAACAGCTTACAATCATGTGTGTCACAATTAACGACACAAAACAAATTAGATATAGTTTGGCAGCGATCACCCTTCCCAGGGGTTATTATTATCTATAAATTTCTTGATATTATAATAACCAAATAGTTCAGCGCTTCTGTGTTGTGTAGAAGATCAGAACCGAATTCTACTCATCTCATTCCTTGTTATGATTCGAAGACATATGCATAGGCCACATAAGCCACTTACCATCAACTGGATTGTGTGACTTTCATTGGGTGCTATCACAAAGAAGCAATCTGCCTACCGCTGGTTTTCTATTTGTAATGTATGGAGTACTAGTGTAGTCACAGACTATGAGACTATATACTATAACTATCATCTTTTTTCTAAGCAAAAACACATCTATTGCTACAGTTGTTTGGTAACTATCAGAATGACCAATCAGAAAAAGGCGTTAGGAGGTATTATTATATGAACAATTGCATTTTTTATATCCCCCCACAAGTGTTAAACATAAGCCTGCTCCAACAAATGCTACAAACGCGTTTCTTAGCACCTATATCCATCATAATCTTGCGTGTTTTTTTATTGAAAATAGTGCAAACCACTGATGATAAGTGTCGACCACCGCTAATGAAAAACTGCTACATCAAGAGAATTTCAAGTACGTTATCGATATTCTTAAAAGGAGTAAGCTTTTTTCTTTTACGTCCCTAATTTGCTAAAAATCGCCTGTAATAGACGATTCAATAAATAAATTGAAGAGGAAGAAAACTCCTAATTATTACATACTGCCAAGCTTTTGGACGGTGTGTATAGTATCGCGAGTTTTTTCGCGATGTGCAATGGTGGAATTTAAATACTGGAATTAATCCGAACGATTCCTCTGAGCACTTCCCTGGGTAAATTTGATAGAAAGGGGATGCAACAACTTTTCATATCTTATCAAGTTATCACGATATTACCAGTACGAAGCTGCCGGTCGTGAACATTCCTTCGCCATCAAAGGCCCAATGTTACTTCGTCTCACTTCTTCTTTATCACTTAATCCTAAAAATGTGGACTTCTTGAGCATTTCTCCTTGTGGACTGGTTCGGCTTGCTGATCTTTGTTTTCTTAGATTAAATATATTATATAGGAGAAACAAAACATTTTGAAATATAAAATAAAATCTGCAAAAAAAAGATAACTCTAAGAACCGCGTCTTGGAGCGTTTAATAGACCACACTTAAAAAAGCCTTTCGCTAATGGCGCGACGCAGTTTGCCGACGACAGTTCACGCCCATGTAATGAGTAGACGGAAGAAATCTCCTCGTCTGCACTGAAAAATGTTAAAGATCGGTAAAAAATAAACAAACAGCGTTGTAGTTCTTATTACAAATGATGCAGTCTACGTCCTTTTGTAGAATTTTCTTAACGATAAAATGCGGACCGTAGGATTTCTCATTATCTTAAAATTTCTATAACTTATTCTCTAGATATTTAAGTAGCATTAAAACGAATAGCCGGGTTCTGTCCCTGCTGGTACATATGAGGTAAGTAATTTCTTTTTTGGGTGCTGAAGTAACGTAGTAAACGCGCTCGATATAGTAAAAGAATATGAAAATGCAATTTCTTTTGATTAGAGAAATGTAAAATCACGCCGGAAAAGCTGTCAAAAGTTTTAAATTAAAATTTTAATTGCCAGTATTCCTAACTGGTTTTCCATTCAATGCAAAATTTTTAATAAAATTTTAATTTTATCAGAAATGAAATCGCAGTTGATTTTATGTTCAAGGGTACGCCATTGTATGGCGGACACCTCGCTTTCGTTTCTAGTAAGTTTTCATCGTGCTTTTGTTGCTCCACCTTATAAGTTAAAAAAATAACTACGTATACTTATATGATGTTCATATTTTTTTATAGAATAGGGGTTACAAACGAACACACATTCAACCTGATGGTAAGAGGACACTATGTCTTATAGACATCTCCATATGTCCATGGTTAAGAATCAGTACGGAGAAGCGTTCTCACCCGTACGGACTAAGATGGAATGCCTCATTTCCAGCAAAAAGAGTCTCAAGTTCTCTAGAATCACCATAAGGAACACAGCTACATTAATCTACTTTTCTTCCCCCGGGCGGGCCTATCCATCGTACTACAACGATTATATTATCAAGTGTCTTGATTTAAATGGAAGCGCAAAGAATTTGCTGATGATCAACCCCCCCCCCCCCCACTCACATCTGTCGATCGCATCCTGCGCTTGTCCGATCGATGAAGTAAGCCAAGTTTACTTTTTATATTCATTAACGTTTATAAAAACCTATAGAGTTAAGGAACATTGTCGACTTTTGCACACTTTCATATAATACATAAACACTCACGCCTGTCACTCAGAGGGGTAGGCAGAGACTACAGACTTCCATTTGGCACGATCCTGACACACCTCTCTTGCCTCCTTCACATCCATACACCTACGCATACATGCTCGTCGGTTAAGGGTACTCCTAATTTGGCCCGTTTTCAAAAAATCGCCAATTTGGTCGATACATTTCTCGCCTAGGACATCCCTTTCCGACTCTGCCATTCACTTCTGCACCATAAATTTTCTTTGTCACTCTTTCCTCATTCATTCTTTCCACATGACCAAACCACCGAAGCATTTCTTTCTTAATCCTGGTCACAACATCATCTTGCAAACCACACTCTTCTCTTATTACACAATTTCTTACCCTGTCATTCAGATTCAGTCCTAACATACTCCTTAACGACCGCATTTCTACAGCGTTCATTCTACTCTCGTGCTTGTTCTGCCACACTCAACTTTCACTACCATACGTTAAAGTAGGGACCAACACAGCATTGTGAATTGCCATACGTGCCTTTTTCGACACATTTTGACTCTTCGCAATAGAGTGCAAGGCCCCATTTACTCTATTTCCCGCATTCACTCGTCGTTCTTTATCCTTATCATATCTGCCATCCCTGCTAAATACGCAGCCCAAATATACAAACTCATCTACTTGCTCGATCAACTCCCCTTCTATTCTTATTTCACAAATCGTTTTGCTTTCTTCTCTTTCAAAAACCATAACCTTCGTCTTACTTGCGTTCACTTTCATACGCCCTTCATTTAATGATCCGTTCATTAAT